TATTAAAATCTGTAGTTATTAAAATATAAAAATAATTCAAACCACCAAAACCATGAATAAAGTAGTAGTAGAGATTGTATGCATCTGTATTGTTACATCTATATCTGTTTTTGAAAACAAAAACTAATCAGCATATATCATATTTTTTATTTATTATTTTTAGAGTTAGAATTTAAAATAAAAAAATATAGATAAATAATACATTTATTTTTTTCAATTCAAAAAATATATTCAAGTTAAAAACTCTTTTTTAACAGATCATATTCAACAGAATATTTAAACTCTTTTTCAATTGAAAATACAAACTGAATATTTTAACAAATCAAAAAATAAAGTTTTACAAATTACTAGAGGTACTCGATGTTTGGCGATTCGGTTACGGTCAAAGGAACCTCAAATCCGCCATCTATTCAAAACTAGGCGGATTGGGAAAAATCAATCTGCAACCGTTCACTCGTTGTCACGCATCCGTCCAAAATATGACGGATCGATTCAATTCAATTCATTTAGATAAATCGATATATCCGCTATTCCCCCTACTAGATATCAAACCTCAACATTAACTTCATTGGACCCTTTCAAATTGTCCTTCCTGGGAGACTTGTAGGGCTGGTTTGATAAATGTTTTTTTTTAGCAATTTTTGTAATTTTATTTTTAACAAATGGTAAAATATATGTTTTGCTATAGGCGAAATTTCGGCGGAGTCTGGGTTTTCTTTTTTGGAATTTATTCAAATATCTTTAATTTTTTAAATCGCAAGGGTCGTTTAGGGTATCCTAAATAAGTACATTTTTTGAATTAAAAAGTTGAGAAAAAAGTATGATTGTTTAGGATAATTTTTTGACTTTTTACAAAAAAATGTGTATTAAAAAATTATATAAATTTGTGTATAGGAAAAGATTGTGATGGAATAGGCTGTACGGAGAGGGACAGCGTGTGCAGAATAGGGGGAGATGGTACCCTGCTTTTTAGGCAGTGAATTGAAGGTGTTGTTCGGTTTGTGAGGCTTACCACGAGTCTCATTTTGCTAATCAAAACTATTTGATGTGTAGAACTCGTCGAATACTATATGTTTGTAAAAAATCATGTTGATCGGATATCGATAGCTATCTGATCGGATTAGTTTTTGTTTCAACTGTTAACTATAACACTATCTATTTTATAAATTTTAACTGATTTGATCATATAGTTACCACGAGTCTCATTTAGCTTTCAACTGTTAACTATAACACCATCTATTTTATAAATTTTTTATAAGAAGTCAAAAAATTTTCCCAAATAATTATTTTTTTCCTTATATTTTTAATCTAAAAAATTAAAAAATACATTTATTTATGACACTTCAGGCAACCCCTTACCAAACATGATGGATCTTGTTTAAAAGATTACTTTTTTAACAAATGTCTGCTAAGCAAATAGCTAAAAAGTGACTTTTTCTTTTTGACAAAATTCAATAAAATTATTCAGCCTCCGTTTGGGAAGTGGGTTGACTTTTTGTGTGAGGCTTACCACGAGTCTCATTTTGCTAATCAAAACTATTTGATGTGTAGAACTCGTCGAATACTATATGTTTGTAAAAAATCATGTTGATCGGATATCGATAGCTATCTGATCGGATTAGTTTTTTTTTCAACTGTTAACTATAACACCATCTATTTTATAAATTTTAACTGATTTGATCATATAGTTACCACGAGTCTCATTTAGCTTTCAACTGTTAATTATAACACCATCTATTTTATAAATTTTTTATAAGAAGTCAAAAAATTATCCCAAATAATTATTTTTTTCCTTATATTGTTAATCTAAAAAATTAAAAAATACATTTATTTATGACACTTACAACCCCTTACCAAACATGATGGATCTTGTTTAAAAGATTACTTTTTTAACAAATGTCTGCTAAGGAAATAGCTAAAAAGTGACTTTTTCTTTTTGACAAAATTCAATAAAATTATTCAGTTTGCTAGGTTCTAATTTTTAGAAAATATTTTCAAAAAATTATATTTTTTTATTTTTTGTATTTTAATGTTTTTTTATGAATTTTTTTTAATATTTTAAATAATTTTTTTTAAAATTTTTTTTTTAGACACACATAACATAAATACACTTAAAAAGTATAATATTTTTAATTTTTTTTATAAAAAATATACTAAATACAAAAAAAATACAAAAATTCAGTATATTTTTCATATCTTTATGTATTTATTAATTTTTAAAAATATTTGTTCACAAATATTTTACTACTTAGATATATCTAAATAAGGTGTATCTAAAAAAAGTAAAAAATTTGCTTAAAATTTTAAAAATATTCACTAAAAATAAAAAAATATGAAAAATAAAAAATATAATTTTTAAAAAACTGAATTTTGAAAACTAAAACCAAATATACTGATTATATTTTTAAATCTTGAATTTATACCAAACAAATGAAACAGAGAAGAGAAATAAAGTAAAAGCCAACTCTCTCTCTCTCTCTCTCTCTAGAAATCTAAACACAAGTTGTTAGTAGATAATGAAAATTGGGCACAAATGATGTAACCCAAATTTCATTGTTGTGATATAAATAGCTTATCATAATGGAACTTTCTTGATTGCCATGATTCTTATAATTTTCCTTAAATAAAAACCCTTAAACCTTATCTTAGGGTGGAAAAAAAAAACAAAAAAAAACCAAAACAACAACATATGACCCACCAATGAGGGGTTTGATGAATTATCACATTCAACAATTTTAATCAATGCTTAAAATGAGTCAATTGTCTGGTTTTGGTAAGTGGAACATATACATAGCACAAACAATAAACAACCGACATGATTAAGCAACCATTTACACAATTGTGTCTAATTGTTAGCATCACCTTTGGCATTAATTTGACATTTGAAAGTGATGTGTAATGTTGTTGATGGTTGTCAAGTGGATCAACTTGCATTGACCCCTTAATATAAAAAGTAAAAAATAAAAATAAATTCATTTAGATTAATATGATAGTATTTTTTTAAAAAAAATTTATTCAATGTTATATGTGTTTTATTTGAAAAGAGAAGTCCTTAATTCATCTATATTTTTCTTTTACAAAAAGTTTTATGACATTTGGTCATTTATTAGAAGTCAAAAACATAAGATCATTAAGTGTTAAGCTCGAAATTTTTAAGTTTTGATTTTGATAATAATAAATTAAATTTTAAATTGAAACATGTCATATCATGTAGTTGATAAAATATGATAAAAATAATGATAATTTTAACATTATTATCTAACTATCAATTAAATTTGTATATAAATTATGAAAAAAAACATATCAAATGTCAATTGATAATTAATTAGCATGTATTAGTGAATAAAATAAGTTTAAAATAATGGTCAAACTAATCGTAGCTTTTGATTTGGGTGATTAGCTTAGGCTTTATTTGAAAAGTGGATTGGTTTTTTGACTTTTTAACTTTTTTAACTATTTTAGCTTGGGGCTAAAAAGTCTAGTTTGAGAAGGGCTTTTGACTTTTGGCTTTTTTAATTTTTTTTGTGAAAGAAAGAATGTAATGATTATGAGTTAAATATGACATTTTGTCTTATTAAACTAAAAAATTTATTTTATATTTTATGATTATTTTAGGCCAAAAAAAACCACAAAATCTTTTTTCCAAACATAGGCTTAGTTTGTTCTTGTCATTTTTAATCGTAGCCGACAGACATGGGCATAGTTGGCCGCATAATCAACATCTTTCAAGAATATAAATGAAGGTAGGGTTTCACAAGTAAATTTATTCCCTGGTTTATTTATAAAAAAATTTAATTATTGAAAAAGTTGATATATTTAGCAAATAAAAATGTGTTTATTTTTTTTTTAATTTTTTTTTCCATTTTGTCAACTAAATAAATTAATGAAATGATTTAGTATAATTTATTGTAAATTAAAAATTGATAACAAAAAAGCAAAAGTTAAAATAAGGTTTATTTTGGGAAGTAAGAAAAAAAATCAAATTTTTGGTTTTTTTTTTTTGACTTTTTTTTTAAAAAAATGTACAAAAAATAAAAATAAAAATAAATAAAGAGGTGATGTGACCTAAATAACTAATAAATTAACTTTTCTACTAATTACCATAATAGGCATAACTCTTTCCTTACTTCATAATAATAATTTTTAAAAAATATTTAATTAAAAATAGATTATGTTATAAATTCTGTCATTAAAATAAAAATTAGGAATAGCTTGGCCCTGTTTAGCAGGTTGTTTTTTTAGTTTTTTTTTTGGGGGGACTAAAATAGATAGTAAAAATAAAATAAGTTAAAATAATTAATAAAATAAAATGTCACATTTAATCAATAATTATTTTATTTTTTCTCTCACAATCATCAAATCAACTATACTATAAACAAAATCAACTGTCTTCTCAAATACAACTATTTAAACCAAGCTAAAATAAAATTAAAAAAACTAAATAATTAACTAAAATAGTTAACTTCTCAAACAAGGTCATAAATTGTTTATAAATAATTTTTGTTTTGATTTGACTAAAAATAATTATAAAAAAACCATTATAAGCGACAATAATGCTGGATTCTTAATTTATCATTATTAAATAATCTCTAATGATGTCGCATTGAGATTAAATTCTACATAATAAAATATTTAACAAAATAAAATTTAATACTAATAAAATACATCATTAAATAATTTGTATGAATGGTAAATTGAGATGTTTCAAATATTTTTTTTTACGCTTACGATTGCAAAACAGGGCATATTCCCGATTAAATCGCCGATTATTTAAAGAGGCATGGATGCCCCTTTCTTTTCATCACACTCATCTCTGAACTGCACGCACTGCCGTCCCACGACAACCCATTTTTCACCCTCTCTCTCTCTCTCTCTCTCTCTCTCTCTCTCTCTCAATATATATATATATATATATATCCGTATATCTGCAAACCAGCAGAAAACAAATACCCATCTTTAATCTCTGGATGGTTCGGTCTCTTTCAAGGGCTTCGAAAAGCAAAAAGAAACTAGGAAGAGAAACAGAGAATGAGAAAAAATAAAAATAAAAATAAAGAATTGTGGTTGTTATTATTATTTTTATTTATTTGGGTGATTCTTTCTGATCTTTTTGTTTTTGTTTGCTTTTTCTCAACCTTCCCTACTTGATGATGAGGTAATAATGTACCCAACCTCAACAACATATGCTTAACACCAAACTAGAGAGAGAAAAAGGGGAGGGAGGGAGAGAGAGAGAAAGGAACCTCTTTTTCTCCCACATTCTGATCATTGATTCCAGTTGGGTTGGGCTGGCTGTGAGACACCTCTCTCCATGATGAACTTTTTTTTATCAGAAAAGTTTTGGTCTTGATTCTCCTTTCGGCTCTACAGAGGTGTGCGAGATAGAGAGAACCAGATGTGGGAAAATAGGACCATTTTTTTCTGTCTCATTAATGATTCCATCAGAGTTTGCCAAAATGGCAACTGGGTATGAACCAGCTTGTCTCTTTTGGCATGATTTGCTTTCCCTTGTGACCTCCAAGCCAAAAGAGGTGACTTTGATGGGTTTCTGTGCTTTGCCAGAGTGAAAGAGGAAAGGGACATAGCAATATAGGCATTGAATCTGTATACAGAGATCAAAGAGATTGAAGAGGTGGGAGCACTGTATTCATCGTTTGGTGAGTAATTGAAGCTTAGTTTGCTGAGGAATCAACTGGGTTTCTTGCAACTTCTCATTTTTGTTCAACATTCCTAGTTGGGTTCTCTTAAATTGCGCCTTTGGTTAGTCTTGTGAGCTGGGTTTCTCAAGGAATCAACAGGGTAGCAAACTGTTCTGATCTTCTTGTTCATTCTTCCCGGTAGATGTCTCATACTGGTTTGATTTTGTTGAATTTTGAGAGCTGGACTGGCTGACAAACCGACTGGTATCACTGAGGTCTATATTTAATGACTTTTTCTGTTGTGTCTGGGGTTTCTCTCAACCTTTCCAGGCTCTTTTTAAGGATATGTAGGTGGGTTCTTGTTAAGATGTCTTTGAATTGCAAGCTCTCTGGCTCCAATGGCAAATTGTCAACCAATTTCAAGGTGAAGAAGGCAAAGGAACCCTTGCATGGATCTAATTGTGTCTGGAAGTGGAATGGGCTGTTTCTGTTTGTGTGCCTTTTGGGTGTCATCATTGGGTCCATTTGGTTCTTTTCTGGTTTGAATGATGGGGCATTGAGGAGGAGGGAGGAGAGTCGAGTTTGTCAATCCAAAGCTAGGGTTTTGCTAGAGCAGTTCAATGTCAGCAAGGACCAACTTCATGCTTTGGCTTCTTTGTTCTCTGAATCAGATCAGGTGCTGTCTTTATACCTCTTAAACTTGTTCCCATATATCTTGGATTTGCATCTTAATAGCTCAAAATTTATTTTTTTAGTTTTGGTTGCTTGGTTTGTACCCTGAAGTAGTTGCTCTTGATAACTGTTTTATGGTAATTAATATACTTGTTTTGGTTAGGAAGTTGACTGAACAAGAAAATTGGTGCAGAACAGGATTTCACTTGTTTCCTGCTAGATCTTCTAGCAAAAAAAATGACTCTTGACCATTTTCAATTTGGACCACGTTGAGAAATAATAAGAAATTGAAATAAGGCTGCTAATGTATGGAAGTTGTTAAGTGAAGCTATGAATTGGTTTCCTATAAAGTTAATGTTCTTTTTATTTTCTCCGCCATTTTTTCTTGTTTGAAATTTCAATGATAGATAGTTGAAACAGGGGATTTTTCCCACGTCTAGCTCTTGAAATGAAATCTTCCTTACTAAAGCTTGGTTGGTTCAACTGAATATGATTGTCTATGATCTAAATCAAGTGTTTGATTGAATAATATGAATCTAAGTCAATAGTGTGGGTTTTTCCTCATTATCTTTGAAGTTCCCAGTCTGTTGTAAATTCTTTGGGATTTGGAGGCATCAGAATAATATACATAACATGATTTAATGACTTGCTAATGAAATTTCAGTTTGTAACACTAACAGTGTGTTTGTTCTTGCTGCCAAAATAATTAAACTGATTCATAAACATTTATTTTTCATGTTTGTTTTCCTTTGGTTATGCTTTTCACAATTCTTGGATTTTTGACGCTACATTACCAAGCATATGCCATTTCTGAGTAGCTCAAACCTTTGAGGTGGACTCAAAGTCAAATCTGTTCCACAAAAGTGAATAGTATTTCTTGTTGTTATTCTTCAATAATTAGTAATTAAGTGCAAAACTTTATATTCCAGTTGATGGAAGTGGCAATATTTTTTCCTTTTTGAGAATTCAACGGCTGGATATTCAAGCAATATTAATGTAGAAGTAGAATGCATAAAGTTATGAAAACTGGGTGCTGAAGTAGGTCTTAGCAGATTAGAAGCTCTAATTTGAACACGTTGTACATACTCAAAAGTCCTTTGTATCAAGCAATTTAGAAAAAATGTCTTCGTACTCTATATATGTTATAAAACTTTCTTAAAACAGACCCCCCTGTAACAAAACTGGATTCTCTGGGAACTAAGTATGAGCCACTCTGGACCATGTGGGTTAGACTACCCCATTCCTGAACCCCTGCTAATGAAATGGGCTTTATCAATGGAATACAATATTCACAAGTAGAACCTGATAAAATATATTTCTTACTAAATGCCGCCTTCTCAGAGATATAGGAAAGGAAAAAGCCAAGTCTTTACCCTTTTTCCCTCTAATTCCATGGTTGCACTTCCAGTGATAAATCCATTCAGAAGCTGTGGAACTGACTCTGATGTCCAGTAAAATGAGCTAGGAAGCACAAATATGGGACACAACGATTAAAAAAAAATTAGGATAGGGACATGCTGGGGTTAGGCCAAAAAAAAAATATATATATATTTTTATTTTCTATGTATATGGATATAAATTTAGAGCATAGAGATATAAGAGGCACCAATGTGTATGTGGGTATATTTTTGTTTTTTTCCACTTTACATCCCCCCTCCTCCTCTTTGTTTCCATATATTTTACTTTGATCCCAAATCAACTTTCTAAATTTATTAAAACCCAAAAAAGTTGCCCTAGGGCATGTCCAAAAATAGGACACTTGTGTCCTTGAAATCTTCCCAATGTGTCATGCAACCCCCCAATGTGTCCAAAAATGTCCAAAAATTAGGTCCCCAATGTCCGAGGTAATTTGCATTTCAAAAGAAAAAACCCCCCAAAAAAAAAAAAAAACATGCATTTTGGAGTGTCTGTGTTTTCTAGGAAGTGGGTCATGTACTTTCTTCTGGATTCTGATTTTTATTGAAGAGGTGGCTTATGCAAAAATTTCCTGATCCTTAATTTCCTTATACAGAGACAGATTGCAGAAAAAGTTGCAACTGTTAGAAAAATAAAAGATTGACATTCAGTAAAGTTTACATCTTATTTTATTATTATTTATTTATTTATTTTTGAAATTCTTATATATGACCTAATTTTTCTTCTTAGTCTTGCAGGTTATGTCCTTGAAATGTACCAAAACACTGGGGTATAAAATGTTACCAAGTAATGTAGCCTGTGATCTGAAGGTGCTGTGCTCAGAAAAGGCGGAATTTGGAAACCAGCATGGCATAGTTGCTGAAAATGTAGAATTTTTCGACCAATGCCCGGTTCAAGATGAGAACATTCCCAGGAAGCAGGGCCTGTCCTTGCAGGAGACTCAGTTTCTATCATTTGCTTCACATTCTATGTCTTCATCATTTTCATCATATCATCAGAACATTGAAGAGGTAAAGATGTGTCATGGGACTCTGCAATGTGCCTTTTTGTGTTTTGTTTTAGTTGGATATGTTTAATTTTGGCTTTACAAGCTTAGAATCTTCCAATTTCAAATTATTATGCTTGTTTCTTGCGAAATTTCTTTGGATGCCTACTGAATAAAATATGTAGATTATACCTACCAGAAATAAGGAGAGTGATGTTTAAGGTTACTAAGCGCAAATAGTGTTAAGCTAACTTAATATACATTGTTGGGCATATTTTATAACAGTTTAAGTTTTTGGCACAATTGGTGTTCTAACGTGGTATTGAAGTCCCATTGGGTCCTAGGTTTAAGTCAAGTCTTGTAATCTGTATTTATTCCTCATTCATGTTTGTGTACGATGTTCAGTTTGATTTGTTTGTTCATTTTTTGGCCTCTCCAAATGGGAGACGGGTTTGCGGGATTAGGTGGCTTGAAATACACCATTAGGTGCATTTTGTAATAGTTTTAAACTTTGTGGGATAATTGGTACACAGCATTGGTGTCAAAACTTTAGTTCTAAGAGGTATTGGCTTCAAGCCTCTCAATTTGCAAATTTTTTTCCATGGTTCGCATGCTTGATTATTTGAATGTCATTTGCTTGTTTGTTTGTCTGTCCATGTGCAAGATGGGGCTGCACATGATGAAGGGTGTTTATTTATTTATTTTGGTCGGTATCCGGCCCACTGGACTGAATATTCCGGGGGACCAATTGCTTGACATATATTGTTGGGCCTATCTCTTAATCGATTAAGTTTTCAGGACAATTGTTGATTTAATTAATAGACCATTTATACTATTAAGCATGTTGTATATGGAGTGCCATAGGATGACTTAGACTGTAGAAATTTATCCTGGTATCAATTTTGAGAGTGGAATACACAAAGTCAGATCATTCTCATAGAACTAGATAAATCTCCATTGTTTGGCTATTTGGTTTCTTTGATGGTTTGACCAAAGAAATTTACAAAAGCCATGAGTGATTGACAAATTTCTTATTGGTTTCTTTTATGGTTTGGTTTTGGTTTTGTTTTTTGTTTTGGTTTGATCAGAAGACAAGGGCCCTGTGGGACATTTCAAAGAACTGTGAAAGTTCTTTTTCCTGTTTGGTGAAAGGATGTTGGTGGGCTCTTTTTGTAGTGGTTGTTGGCTGCTTAATCTCTCATTTACATGAAAAATGGCGGGTAAATCAAAAGCAAAAACTGTTTCATCACCAGCAACAGCAAGCACAGTGTTCTTCAAGAAGTGCTGGGAAGTGGAGGACAACTCTCCTTGGTTTGTTTGTCGCCTTTGGGGTGGCTGGATCCTATTGCTTATTTTCGCACTTAAACAAGGATATAGTTTTGAGGAGGAAAGAAACACTTGCCAACATGTGTGACGAGCGAGCCCGGATGCTTCAGGATCAGTTCAATGTGAGCATGAATCATGTTCATGCACTGGCTATCCTTGTCTCCACATTTCACCATGGAAAACAACCTTCCGCTATTGATCAGGTAATGTTCTCATCACTGTCTATTACCTTTTTACTTTTCAAGCATGTCCTGTCTGATAACTTGATATACATTGTTGGTCCTATTTCCTAACAACTTAAGATTTTGAGACAATTGGTGACTTAATAGTCCAAGAGTCTATAAACCATCTATAATTGTGGCAATGATTTTGACCTTGATAATTCTCTTTTAATCCACAGAAAACATTTGGAGAATATACTGAGAGAACCGCTTTTGAGAGACCACTTACAAGTGGAGTTGCCTATGCTTTGAGAGTTATTCACTCAGAAAGGGATCAATTTGAGAAGCAGCATGGATGGACAATAAAGAAAATGGAAACAGAGGATCAAACTCTAGTCCAAGACTGTATCCCCGAAAATTTAGATCCTTCACCCCCTCAAGATGAATATGCACCTGTAATTTTCTCTCAAGAAACTGTTTCGCATATTGTATCCATTGATATGATGTCTGGAAAGGTGCGTTTTATTTATCTTATGGGCTTTGTCATTTCTGTTATTTTTGTTGATCGCATTTCTTCCTCAGTAATCTAATGATTTCAATTTTACTTCTAGTAAACCTGTGCATAACTGTAAGCAATCAAAATGTTTTTTCTTTGTTATATAGGAAGATCGTGAAAACATTTTGCGAGCAAGGGCATCGGGAAAGGGAGTCCTGACATCTCCTTTCAAGTTACTGAAATCCAATCACCTGGGTGTTGTACTTACTTTTGCTGTATACAACATTCACCTCCATCCAGATGCTACACCAGAGCAACGTATTAATGCTACTGTGGGGTAAATTAATCTCCTTGAAATTTTTTGGTTTCTTGCATAAAACCCATGAATGAAGTATTTCATAGAATTGGAATTATCTGTATTTTGTTGCCCTATTTGATTAGATTTTTTACTTTTTTTTTTATTCTGTGGCTTGCTTCTTGAAAGGTATCTAGGTGCATCTTATGATGTCCCATCACTGGTGGAGAAGCTTCTACTCCAGCTTGCTAGTAAGCAGACTATTGTTGTTAATGTTTATGACACAACCAGCAAAATTGCACCAATCAATATGTATGGCACTGATGTTGTTGACACGGGTCTATTGCACATTAGCAGCCTTGATTTTGGTGATCCAGCTCGGAAGCATGAGATGCATTGCAGGTCAGCTGTCACTCATGGTCAGAAAAATAATGCAATAAAAAAGAATTTTTAAACAATGCTAAACAGTGTGTAGTGAACAATAAAATTATGAGAAATTAAAATTAGCGTGTAAAATAGAAGGGCATAGGAAAACAACAGAAAGGAGGAAATATCTGACTTACAGGATTGAGGGATGTGTAGTCATTGTTTCTCTCCATGTGAAGATACTAATGAAGTGCAAAGCTCCAAGATACAATCCAAGGCCCCGTTTGTTTTGGGAGATAGAATGGAGGGGATTGATAGTGAGGGGATTAATAGTGAGGGGATTAATAATGAGGAATTGTTAATTTATTTTTATATAAAATAATAAAACAAATAAAAAAATATAAAAAAATAAACATTATATTTAAAAAAAAAATTCTCAATATATAAAAAATAAAAAAAATAAAAAAATTTCTAATCCCTACACTATTTTTCTAATACCATCTCTACCTCTTCCTTACCAATCCCCCTTCCTCCTCCTTACTAATATCAAGGGATTACTAATCCCTTCCATATCTCTCAAAACAAACACTCCACTCTCAATCCCCTCCTCACTATCAAACTCAATTCCCTCCCCATAACCCCAAACAAACGGAGCCCAAGTGTTCACTACCTTCCTTGTCCAGTGTTGACGCCCACTAGGAGGATATTAATTAGTCACAAACCAAAGTTGCCCATAAAATCAAGAAGCTATATTTAATAGTTGAAAAACTCTCTCAATATTACTTTGCACGTAGTAATTTTAAAACCAATAAATTGTTAACAGTCAAATATTAAAACATTAAACAATATTTTGTTTTTATTAAAATTCTCCAACCCATATTCCAAGTTCAGATTGTTTGCTTTTCACTGCAGGTTCAAGCAGAAACCATGTCCTCCTTGGACTGCAATAACGGCATCAGTGGGAGTTCTTGTTATCACTTTGCTTCTCGGTCATATTTTTTTTGCAGCCATAACCAGAATTGAAAAAGTGGAGCATGATTATCATGAAATGATGAAGCTCAAACACCGTGCTGAAGCTGCAGATGTTGCAAAATCTCAGGTGCATTTCATTTTTGGTAGAAATGATAGGGTCGATAGACAATTCCATACTATCATCAATTATACCAGAATCACATCTTTTCTTTTCCTTTGTTGTTTCCATCATTAGATTCTTGCTATATCCTTTAACCATAGTTTTCTTTGTCTTGTAGTTTCTTGCAACGGTTTCCCATGAAATCAGGACTCCAATGAATGGTGTTTTAGGTGATTAAAAAGTCCTTCAGATTCACATACACTATGTTACTTATCTTCAAAAAAACATTTAACTGAATACAGATTCAAACTCAAATACAGGTATGCTGCAAATGCTAATGGACACAGATCTTGATGCAACCCAACTGGATTATGCCCAGACTGCTCATGCTAGCGGGAAAGATCTGATATCTTTGATAAATGAGGTTCTTGATCAAGCTAAGATAGAATCGGGCAGGCTTGAGCTTGAAGCTGTACCTTTTGTTGTGCGTTCTGAACTTGATAATGTTTTATCACTTTTCTCAGGCAGATCGCATGAAAAAGGGATTGAGGTAATGGCATTCATACGTATATGTGTATATATATTTGGTCTAGGTTAATTTTTATTGGTGTTGCTGGAACTTGAAATGCTTTCTTATGTGAACTTGGTCATTTGTGTTCCTATGGGTGAGAGAAGTTGGCCATTTATGTCTCCGATCAAGTGCCTGAAGTTGTTAATGGTGATCCTGGACGGTTCCGGCAGATCATTACTAACCTTGTTGGAAATTCAGTCAAGGTTGGTCATCTTCCAAAGTTTCTATGCTTATGTTTTTTTGGGAAATGAAGGTGCGGGAAAAGTACTTTTTTGCGTGCATATCTTCAGTTCTCTAATTTATGACCTTTTTATTTTATTTTATTTTGAATTGCAGTTCACTAGCGACAAAGGCCATATATTTGTCTCAGTACATCTGGCGGATGAAGTGAGGGCCCCACTCGATGTTAGGGATGAAGTACTGAGACAGAGCTTAACCTTAGTTCAAGACTGGTCGAAGAACGTTTATAACACATTGAGTGGATTCCCCGTGGTTGACAGATGGAAAAGTTGGAAGAATTTTAAAAGTGCCAGTGGCACGGAGTTGGAGGAAACTGGAAGGATCAAATTGTTAGTAACAGTTGAGGATACTGGGGTGGGAATTCCTGGAGATGCTCAAGACCGTATTTTCACGCCCTTTATGCAGGCTGACAGTTCCACTTCACGAACGTATGGTGGGACTGGTATAGGGTTGAGCATTAGCAAGCGCTTGGTGGATCTTATGGGCGGAGATATTGGGTTTGTGAGTGAACCGGGCATAGGCAGTACTTTTTCATTTACAGCAACATTTACCAAAGGAGAAACAAGTTCTTTGGATTCAAAACGGCAACATTATGATCCTGCTGTCTCAGAGTTCCGGGGACTGAGAGCGTTGGTGGTTGATGATAAAAGCATCAGAGCTGAGGTTACAAGATATCATCTTAAAATATTGGGGATATCCACAGATATAGCTCTCAGTCTGGATTCGGCATATGCTTATCTATCTAGTAACTCTAATTCAAGGTAAGGTCCTTTTTAGTGATTTACTGAGCATATTTGTTGAAAAGGTTACAGTGGCTTCAAGTGATAAACAGACTAATTGAAGATTTAGGATCTTATTGTCTTTCTTCCAATTACCAATTATCTTTATCACTTTGATTAATGAAAGTATTGTTGTATTATCACAAAAATGATGATAATAAAATGTTGACTATGTAGTTGATGTCTAAAATTTTGGAATTATGGATAGTTTTCAATGGTAATCATGGAGTTAGTTTTCTATCCTGCTGATAATTGTGTTGGTTATAATCTTGCAGCGTATCATCACATTTTGCCATGGTTCTTGTTGACAAAGATGTTTGGGGGAAGGAGACTAGTCATTCATTCCATTGTCTCCTCAAAGAGCTCAGGTCAAGTGGCAGAACAGAAGTCCCTGAAAGCCAGGTGAAAGTATTTCTATTGACAACCTCTGTAAGCCATACAGAGCGCAGTGAACTCAAATCGGATGGTTTAGTAGATAATGTGCTAACGAAACCTCTTCGAGTAAGCATTTTGAGTTCGTGCTTCCAAGAAGTGCTTGGGATTGGCAAGAAGAGGCAACTAAATAGAGGGAAACCGCCTACTCTTGGAAACCTACTTAGGAACAAGCGAATCTTGGTGGTAGACGACAACAGTGTGAACAGAAGAGTCGGAGAAGGTGCTCTAAAGAAGTACGGTGCAATTGTTACCTGTGTAGATAGCGGGAAAGCTGCTTTAGCGATGCTTAAGCCACCCCACAACTTTGATGCCTGTTTCATGGATCTCCAAATGCCAGAAATGGATGGGTAATTAACTTGTCTTTGTTTTAAAATTTGTGATTTCCCTTGGTTATCATTGCAAATGATGCCATTATAAGTCCTGTTTGTTGCAGCTTATGGAGCTGCTTGTAGCTTTTTTTATTTTGAAAATATTTGGTGTAACTTCTGCTTATAACTTTTGAGGTAGAAATAGATTGTATAAGTTGCAAAAAAGCTGATTATTAGAATGCAGGGAAACGTGTGTTTTTAGTTTTCAGCTTGCAAGCATCTGCACCATATCTTCACTTTTTTTTATGGCTATAATAATCTTCACCTTTAATCGTGTAGGTTTGAAGCTACAAAGAAAATTCGTAGTATAGAGTGCAAGGTTAATGAAAGAATCGAATCTGGTGAAGCATCAATTGATATGTTTGGAAATGTGGCCCACTGGCACACACCAATATTAGCAATGACGGCTGATGTGATTCAAGCTACTAATGAGCGCTGCATGAAGTGTGGTATGGATGGTTACGTGGCCAAGCCCTTTGAAGAAGAGCAGCTGTATTCAGCAGTAGCAAAATTCTTGGAGTCTGGTTGATTGAACCGGAAGGTGATTAATGCAGCAACAATTGTTTGTTGGTGACCCACCCAAGTGTTTAATCCGAACGATTTTCGGATTAAAGACCAAAGCAACTTGGACATCCTGCTACTGACATCCTCCGCTGCTGTGAGGCATCATGACAGATGCTTCCCGTCTGCATTCTTTTCGCCTTTCCTTATGTGGTAATTGCTTATCGTTCTTGTCTGCATTCTTTTTGCCTTTTCTTCTTTTTGATTCCATGTTCTGTAAGAGGCACGAACACTTAGCTTCTTGTGTCTGAAACACGATATGATACTCATCGGATACTTCCCAAGTCATAACACATTACAATTTTGAATAAAATAATTTACAAACCATCGACAAAACAAAAACAATGTGAATTTATACCTATTAGCCTTGTTTAGACTTTCAAAATTATTCTCTTTGACTTGAATATTCATATATATGACATATAATAAATGTATATAATTATACATTTTGCACATATTTTCACATGTTGCGTCTTAAATTTTTCAAAAAATTTCTTGTTAGCGTGTATGTGTTCTTGCTTCAGCTTCTTAGTCTCTTGAAGTGCTTTCCTTCTTTCTGAACCTCTCCATTTTTTGGGAGAATGGTAACAAACTTCAAATTTTTTTTTTTGGAGGAACTTTCAATTTAGTCGTGGATGTTAATGACATTTTTTTGTTTTTTGATTTTTTGTTTTTTTCCAGGAATGCGCTTACGATCATGACAATTGGATTATTATGCAAAGACCGGTAGGGGGAGAAATTAACAACTTTTACACAGTTTGTCATCCATTCTACATTACACGATCATTTGTTGACGACTCAATAATAGAGACGGTGAAAACTTTTTGTACATAACCCCTTCTATTTGATGTATCTTATAGCTCTATATTCTTTCATTTAGGTTTAGGCATAACAAAGTGTAATGGTTATTGAATATCCCGGTGAAATGAAAGATTAATCTACCATCTTCTTGAGATTTATGTGGGAAGTGTGAGAGCAGTGTGATAGATCAAATATTCATTTTTGACAGTAAATTGCCTCTGAGTTCATTTCTAGCTGCATCTGGGGGGTGGTAGAACATAATACCGATGATGGGATGATATTCAGAAGAGAAGTAAAGTTGTATAGAAGAACATTTGTGTTGTTGCTGAAACCCTAGTTGTGACTTAGTTGCTATGAAGCACGGATACTCCGAAATGGCCTCCGTACGTGTATCGGATATGTATCGGATACGTATCGAATACGGATACGTGTCCGATACGGCGGGATACGTATAAGATAGGACAAAGAAGTATCTTATTTTTTTTTTAATTTTTTGAATTTCAGATACATTTGGGATACGCGAGGATACTTTCGGGATACGGCGGGGCAAAAAAATAATTTTAAAAACTTATAATGGGGGTCAAATTATAAAATAACAAAAGTAATGTAAAATTAAACAAAAAAATCAACGAACCAAGCCCTAGGTTGCGAACAACGAAGCAAAGGAGTCGTCGTTGTCGTCGTCTCTATCAACTAACCAAGCCCTAGGTTCGTCGATCAGGGTCGTCGTTGTCGATCAGGTTCGTCCCTCTCTCTCTCTCTCTTTCTCCCTCTCCCTTTCGCTCGATCTCTCTGGTCTGGACAGATTTCGCTCGCTCGATCTCTCTCTCTCGCTCTCTCTCTCTCTTCTCCCTTTCTTCTTCTTTCGCTCGATCTCTCTGGTCTGGACAGATCTTGCTCTCTCTCTCTCTCTCGGGTCTGGACTTATCTCGCCCTCTCTCTCTCTCTCTCTCTCTCTCTCTCTCTCTCTCTCCCTCTATCATCTCGCTCTCCATTTCGATCTCCTGTTTGTATAATACATATTTATTTTGTTTTGTTTTGTTTTGTTTTTTTAAAGTATATACTCGTGTGCAAAAAGAAGTATCTTTTTTTTTTTTTTAATTTTTTGAATTTCAGATACATTTGGGATACGCGAGGATACTTTCGGGATACGGCGGGGCAAAAAAATAATTTTAAAAACTTATAATGGGGGTCAAATTATAAAATAACAAAAGTAATGTAAAATTAAACAAAAAAATCAACGAACCAAGCCCTAGGTTGCGAACAACGAAGCAAAGGAGTCGTCGTTGTCGTCGTCTCTATCAACTAACCAAGCCCTAGGTTCGTCGATCAGGGTCGTCGTTGTCGATCAGGTTCGTCCCCCTCTCTCTCTCTCTTTCTCCCTCTCCCTTTCGCTCGATCTCTCTGGTCTGGACAGATTTCGCTCGCTCGATCTCTCTCTCTCGCTCTCTCTCTCTCTTCTCCCTTTCTTCTTCTTTCGCTCGATCTCTCTGGTCTGGACAGATCTCGCTCTCTCTCTCTCTCGGGTCTGGACTTATCTCGCCCTCTCTCTCTCTCTCTCTCTCGTTCGATCTTTCCCTCTCCCTCTATCATCTCGCTCTCCATTTCGATCTCCTGTTTGTATAATACATATTTATTTTGTTTTGTTTTGTTTTGTTTTTTTAAAGTATATACTCGTGTTTTGGCCCCATTTGATATCATTTATATGTTAGGCTTTATACTTATAAAATTTTAGATTATTAGTTTAAAAGAATTAAAATAAGTTGTAAATGTGTTTTGGTTATGAAAAAAGTTGAACTTATTTGGCTAAACAAATTGTCATATTTTTTTTAAAAAAAATATATAAAAAATATCTTCAAAAGTTATAATTAAAACAAATATGTCACTTTATTTGTTCATACATATTTAAGAATTTCAATTATGCTAAAAAAAACCCACATAATGTAGTTCAAAAAAATACATTGTCTGTTTTGGGCCAAATTACCTGAAAAATCAAATAAATTATAATTTACAATTGTAACTAAACACCATAAATTAAATTCTTATAAGCAAATAAATAAATAAATAAACTTATTAATAAATAAATGAACTTTGTAAATTCCCCTCCTAATTTGAATTGCATTATGGTTGTTATGGGTGATGCTATATTGTTGGAATTGCTGAAATTTAATTGAATTGATAAATTTTTTTTTCGATGTTCATGCCAAAAAATAACTACATTAATGTTTTGTTTTATTTCTTTACCAAATTTATAAATTTTAGAAAATGAGTTCGGGTACGAGAAGTTTAGGTTCAACGAGTGGTACACCAATGGAAGAAGATGATCATGCTCCTCTTTGGTGTTATGTTACAAAACTAAAAAAAATGGGAGAAGGAGGTGGTAATACCAAGTTTAAATGCAATTACTATCAAAATGAGCACAATGGGTCATACTTTAGGGTCAAGGCACATTTGTTAAAACTCTCTGGCCATGGGATTAGAGTGTGTTTCAAAGTGACTCCTTAACCCCTTGCTGAAATGCAAAGGAAAATTAAAGAAGTCGAGAAGAGGTTAAGGATGGTGTAGACACCCATTTTGATGGCCCTTAAGACTTGAGTGCCATTGATTGATCACTCAATGATGAATGTGTCCGCTTGTCGAATGCTTGACTTCCTCAGCAGAAAACCTCAGTTTTGAACCTTCAAACCTTGTGTCTTGTTTTGGACCAAAATAGTGGTTTTTCAGGCCTGTGCCTTCAGGGACCTGCCGGCAGCCACTAATAATGGGGTGGGCGGTTGGTGATGACGGACATGTGGTTTTTGGCACGATTTATGGGTTTTTTAAAATTTTTAAAAATATTTAGGAATGACTCTATATCTAGCAAAACAGTCAATTTTTGGCATTTTGATTCAAAATTGATTTTCCAAAAAATTTGCTAGATTTGGACTCTTTTGTGTTTATCTATTTCACATTGCACTTATGAGATTAGATTCAGAACCGCGAAAGTCCGAATTGTAGGGTTAGTCGTATCTGAAAGGAGCACGAAAAGTCAAGCTACAGTTTCTGGCGACTCTACTGGGGAAATTCGAGAACGTAACTCGAACTTCATGATATGAAATTTTATTTACACTTATATGTTCTTTGCATTGCATTTGCATCGGTACGCTTAAGTAATTGTGTTTGCCATCTGATATTCTTGGACGGTTTACCGGAGGCTTGCCCAAAAGTTTGCCAAAAGGCTGGCCGGTCCTGGGCTTTGCCATGTTGGGAACACAAACCTTGGATCTGGACTACCGCTGTACTGTTTGATCATTCTTTCACTTCTCAGTGTTAGGTGTGAGAGGTATATTAGGTAGTCTTGCTGAGGTATCCTTTTTTGACCATTTGGCCTAGTTGCATATAAAAAAGCCATAATGACTTTTCCAAACTAGGACATGATGCTCACCCAAAATATAGAATTGCGTGAAACAACTTGATTGAAATAGTGAAACCTAGTTCATGACAAAACTTGGACAGGGTAACCCTACTCCCTCATAGGGGTATTTTGACTCTCTCTTAACCGGTATGTGCTTTATAGTGAAACTGTACAAGAATGTGCATAGCAGTTGCAAATTTGGTATCTGTTTTGGGGCCAAAATTCAATGTGGAGTAGTCCTACAGCTTTGATCATGTCTGTGTTGATAACATTTTAGCTGAGGTGATGTGCAATTTCTGATTAATGTCCCTGAACAAGATCCCCGGCTTTACAAAGTCTTCTGACTTGGGTCCAGAGTACTTGGGGGATATCCAAACTTTCTGAAGTATGGTTTTAAACTACCTAACAAAAGAAAGAAAGCAAAAGAGCACCCGTGTTTACCACACTCCCACCGGTTACAAGACGGAGGAGAATCATGCAGAATTCACCAGTTCAATTTTCACAGCAATCACCCCTTAACTCACTTGTGTCCAATCAGGTTCGGGAACGTTCATCTACTTCTAGCCCAGTACGAGATCAATCACCTATTCCAATGGCACAGTATCCCCCAGTCAGTGTGGAAGAACTGATATACCATTTGCAATAGACAGTTGAGACCCTACAGTAGGATGCGGCCCGCCAGGCCGAGGTCACGGCCCGTCAGGACCCGGAGCCACCGTTCATACTACTAATGTTCAAGAAAACCAAGGCAATTCAGCAGAGCCAATCCTAGCACAAGCCTCCAAAACCTCTGTTTATCAGACCGAGGCTCCATTTGAGTTCGAGGTTGACCCAACTATATTCAAGGTCAATAAATTGGAAAAGTTATTCAAGAGAGCACAAGGGGTTAACTCCATCCCGAACATAGAGAACGGGTATACTGATTCTACAGTCACATTGTCGGATCGGTTTAAAATGTCGCACATTGATTGATTCGATGGCTCCGGGGATTCTATGGTCCACGGATCCGATGGTCCACTTGCGTTTGTTTTCTGATATCTTACGACCGATGGGCTTGACTAGACTACAAAAGCTGTCTCTCTTTGGTCGCACCATGTTTGGTATAGCAGCCATTTGGTATGCTAAGTTGGAAGACTCTGTCAAACAGAATTGAGAGGAGATGGTCGAGGCTTTCATTGCGCAGTATTCGTACAATACTCAAATTGAGGTCACAACTCGTGATCTCGAGGTAACACCTGTAGACACCCCATTTTTAACCGTCCTTAAGACTTGGATATGCTTGCAGGTACATCCAATGGAAAGTTTGATTGCTCATCGAGTACTCGAATTTCGTGGCGGAATGTCACAGGTTTGAGCTTTCCAAACCTTGTGTCCATCATGTCCCATACTTGGACCATGTGTTGGTCCTTTCCTCATGTTGCTTTTGGAGCACTGCCGGCCATGGAATGCCACTGCCGGCCATCAATTTATGCCTGGCGGCCATCAATGAGGCACTGCTGGCCACCACTGATGGCCGGCAGGACACCATGTTTCAACAGTTATATTTTAGATATTTTTGAGCCAGTTGTTGCACACTGGGTGTATCCTCCATACACGTGTATGGATGGATTAAAACAAGCTTCTAGCTTGTTAAGGAAGCTTTGGCTTGCTTGTTCTATATAAGGGGAGGTCCCTCTCCTTTGAGAGGGGTTCTGAAATTTTAGGGCTGAAAATTCTCTCTCTCTCTCTCTCTCTCTCTATTGTAGTGCTTGAAAGTGGGATTTT